AGTGAGGTTGGCCCAGGTTCGGGCAGTGTTTCGTTCTGCTGTGCATAAGGTCGTTATGGGTCGGTACCAACTCGATGGCACCTAACAACAACATGATATCCTAAGGAGTCCTGGTGTGACGCTGTGGGGTTAATGCACCAGACTCCAAAGCCGTTTGAACTGCAAGGTCGGTGGTTCAAGCTCACTAGCTGCTCCTTAGAAACCCTATACAGGGTCGCTATGGGTCGGAACAGACTCGACTGCACTTCACAACAACAACAACAACATGATCCCCTAAAATATCCTCCCTTTTTTCTACACACACCCTGGAGATGCTCTGGTAGCGTACTCCGGCAATTCTAAACTACTAGTTGTTCCGCAGGAGAAAGATGAGGCTTTCTGCTCCCGTAAAGATTCACAGTCTCGGGAAACCCTGGGCAGGGTCGTTATGAATCGGAACGGACTCCACAGCACATCACCACCACCACCACCATCACCACACACACTGGAGTCCTGGTGCGACGCTGTGGGATAATGCGCTGGACTGCAAAGGTGGTTTGACTAGCAAGATCGGAGGTTCAAATTCACCAGCTGCTCCTCGGAAACCCTATACAAGGGTCGCTATGGGTCGGAACCGACTCGAAGGCTCTTAACAACACACAACCTAATGCGCCTACAAATCCCAGACCACAATGCGATTGACGCAGGCGGAAACAGCTATCCGAGCCGAGGCCTATGATTGGTGGTGAGCATTGGGCCAATTGGAGGGGTTGTTGTTGAACAATCCAGGAGACCCGGTCTGGGAGGGAGAAGGTGGCAAGATGGTGTTGGAAAGCACTATGGTTTGGTGAGGAACTACCTTGGGCCCTGTGGGAGCGAGAAGGATGTTGGTTGGGGACTCGTATAATGTGGAGGCCTGGCGAGTTTGGGGAGTGGGGCTTTAACGCGCGAGATACAGCCTTGGGCTGGAAGAGAAGGCGTTCTGTAGACTCCCTGAGTCATCCCGGGGCCCCAGGAGAGAAGGACAGGCCTAGGGTTCGCCCCTTGAACCCCTAGCCCGCGAACATTCATGGACCTGCTAGCCCTTGCTGCCTAATTCCTGCCTCGGTTTCTCTATAGACAAATCCCAGATCTGTCTTTAGCTAGAATTCTGCAGCTCGGATTTACCCTGAGTGTCCGCTGCTCGCCTCTCCTCTAGATACTGGAGATTAGGGAGAGAGATGATAAACTTCTTCCCCGTCCCATTTTCTCTTCCCTAACTGTCTTGTCTTCTTCAAAGGTAACATTACAAATTCCTTATGATTTGTCAGGCATTTTATATATCTCACATGCACCTCACAGCAGTACTTCGAAGTAAATATCTCCCATTTTGCAGATAAGGATCCCGATTTGCCCAGTCACACAGCTAGTCAGTGGTGGAGCCAAGATTTAAACAAAGACTGTAATCCGGTGAGCTAGACTGCCTCCTCTCTTCCTCTCATATTCGAACTGAGTAGCTATTAATGAGCAGGATTAGAAATTGATGACAAAAATGTATACAAAGTTGCAAGGGTTCCTTTTCAGTGTGAGCATAGAATATAAATTTTAAATAGTACAGGAACACACAAATCGTCAAATGACCTCTTTTGGGAGACCCTAGTGTTGCTAGATATACAATATACCCTGTTAGATTTGAATTTCAGTTTAGGAAATACTACTTTGAGTATTTAAAAAAAAATCACCAGCTGTTTGTCAGTGGTGCGATGGTTAAAGCACTCAGTTGCTAACTAACATGGTTCAAACTCACTACCTACTCTGCTAGAGAAAGATGTGGCAGTCTGCTTCCATAAAGAGTTACAGCTTTGGAAACCCTGTGGAGCAGTTCTCTATTCTGTCGGGTCCCCAGGAGTCTGAATTGATTCCACTGCATTAGGTTTCGTTTTTGGGTGTGTCCCAAATACTTCATGAAGAATACTTATGTTAAAATGTTACTTGTTGTTTACCTGAAATTCAGAGTTAACTGGGTGTCCTGAGATTTTATTTGCTAAATTTGGTAACCTCTGGGGAAGATCATTTCAGCTTCGAAAGAGGACAGGATTTGGAATTCAAATTCCTGTATTTTTCCTCGTACTTACTAGCTATCTGTTCTTGAGAATGTTACTAAATCTCTCGCTTTTCTTATTTGTAAAATGGAAGTGATAGTAATATCTGCTTACTTTATAGCAGAAAATTGTTGTGAAGGTAAAATGTATGTGTTGGTGCTTTGCAAACCTTAAAGCACTATTCAAATGTTAGCTGCATTGTACTTGGGTAGGCCTCAAGAAGCAGTTTCAAAAGGGCCTTGATCGGAAACCCTGTACAGGGTGGCTATGAGTCGGAACCGCCTCCACGGCACATAACAACAGCAACAACAACAATGGGATTTAGAATGCTGAGAAGAAATCATTAAATTGTTACCTGTAGGGGAAGGGCATAAACAAAGCTGTTGAGGTATAAAGAAAGGCATGTTTAGGGAGTAAACTGCTGTGGCTTTACAAGAAGTTGATTTACTTTTATTTCCTTTTTTTGAAAGCTGGGACTAGGTTAAAGACAACAGATATCATGCTGAGGAGATTGAATTCTGTCCTATAGCCTTCCCTGGGGCGGTGCTGTGGGTTAATGCGCTGGACATTAAAGTCTGTCTGAACTGCAAGGTCGGCGGTTCAAACTCATGGAAACCCTATACAGGGTCGCTGTGGGTTAGAACCGACTTGAAGGCACACAACAACAGTTCAATAGCAAAAAAGCTTTGAGGGTGGTAGAGTCACAGCATTTATGAATATTGATGGTGTGTGGTGGTGTTAAGTGCTGTGGAGTCAGTTCTGACTCAATGTCACTAAGTAAAGGTTTCCAACGAGCAGCTGATGGGTTTGAATCTCTGACCTTGTGGTTAGCAGTCAGGTGCTTATCCTAAAGCACCACACCAGTACTCTATTGATGGTGTTTAGGAGGAAAAATTAGTTCCAGAAAAACATGTTGGTGGATTATTGTAATAGCCTAAGGAGCCCTGGTGGTGCAGGGATTAACCTTCTACCTGAAAGAGTTGCTCACTAGCTGCTCTGAGGCAAAAAGATGTGGCAATCTGCTTCTGTAAAGATTGTGTTGTTGGTAAGTGCCACCAAGTAGGTTCCAACTCACAGTACCCCTGTCTAGGGTTTCCAAGAAGCAGCTGGTGGGTTTGAACCACCAACCTTGCAGTCCAATATTATGGTGCCACACCAGGACTCCTTTAAAACTTCATATCAAAATAAGGATTTTAAAGAGATTATCCTACTAATGTCTTCGTTTAAGAAAAAAAAATCAGGTGCCTGGACTCCCCTGACTGGGAGAATATAACTCAAAAACTCTTGAGTCAAAACTCTGCGTGTTAAAAAAGCTCCCCCAGAGGATTTCAGTGCACAGCAAAATATAAGGCCCTGCTCCCGTAAAGATTTACAGCCTTGGAAACCCTGTACAGGGTCGCTATGCATCGGAACCCACTCCACGGCACATAATAACAACAACAGAAAAAGGAGGTGGCCCTCATTATCATCTTGTGCCTGGGCTATTCAAATAAAACCACAACAGCAACAAAATATTGCCAACCAGTTGATTCCGAAGCCTAGCAACCCTACAGGACAGAGTGGACCTGCCTCTCAGCAGCCTTGGAAACCCTGTGGGGCAGTTCTACTCTAGCTTAAAGGTTGCTATGTGTCGGAATTGACTAGTTGGCAGTGTTGTTTTTAACAACTGTTGTTTTTTTAATAGCCCAGGCACAAGATGATGATGAGGACTGGTGCCTTTATAAATCTGATCCTTATTTGTCTTTGGGGGTTGAAAATATTACATATCAATTTACATATGTATTTTAATACATGCATAAAAAATACACAAGTAATAAAAATGTACCCTGACAATGAACAAGAGGTAGACAATGTCAGCATTTGTCAGTTGCAGTAATAACTCCACCTGTGGAAGTTTTCTGAATCATCTGGATTGTCTTTGGGAATGGGGAGGTCTTGGTGTTTAGTCAGAAAATTAGTGAGAGTTGTCTATTATGGTCCTTTTCTTTTTTTTTCTCTCCATATGTTTTGTGGTAACATCGTACTGCTTCCCAAATCTACCTATTGACTTTAGCAGAGTGATCAGCATTGGGGTTTATGTTTTCAAGCAACTGAAACCCCTGACTTAGTTTAAAACATTAAATCTATATTGCAGTGTTTTGAACAGTCATAAAATTGAACATCTGCAAGTGAATGTCTAAGAATAATTAGCAAATTACACACTACAACATTGTACATATAATGGTAGTTAGTGGTGGTGGTTGTGTACTGTAGCATTGGTTCCTACTCATATGGCCCTGTATAGGGTTTCTGAGTTTGTAAATCTTTACAGGAGCAGAAAGCCTCATCTTTCTCTCCTGGACTCAAACTGCTGACCCTGTGGTTAGCATCCCAACCTCAGTATGTCACCAAAATTCCTACATATAATAAGATGTGTAAAAACATCAACAACAACAAAACCTGTTGTAAGTGTAGTTTGTCTTACTTGAATATGCCTTTTCATTTGGGGACTGTCTGTATTGCCTTTTCTATTTGTTTCTCAGTAGCTTAATTACCTTTCTTCATCATTTTTGGTTTGCCACCAAAGAAAGCATACTAAAGAAAAAGAAAATGCCTCAAGCCTATAGAAATGAGGAATCTAGAACACTGCTTAACTTCTGTTAGCGTGGAGAGAATCATTGGCTGAGCTCAAGTACCTCAGATAATTAAGAATTGATCCTGTTCAGAGGCTTGTAAAACTATGTTTTTCTGACCTCTTTTGATCTCTTGAGCAGCTGGAGATTGTACTTCTTATTATCTGAACTCTTAGGCTGTGAAAAGTTGCAGAAATAAAAGAGGTGAGACAACCAGAGACCCCAAGCCCATGAAACCTCATTTTTGCATTTCAACCCAACTGTCAGAGCTGTTAGGGTTTGAGCCAGGTGATTGCATTCTGCTTTCTTGCTTCCAAAATCCAAACCCAATGTCATCCAGTCAATTTTAACTCTTAGTGACCATATAGGTGGTGGTGGTGGTGGTTGTGTATCACCAAGTTGGTTCCAACTCATAGTGACCCGGTGTAGAGTTTCTGAAGGTATAATTCCTTAAAGGAGCAGAAAGCATTCATCTTTCTCCCATGGAGTGGTGGTAGACTTGAACTGCTGACCTTGCAGGTAGCAGCACATTTTGTAATCTATTACGCTACCAGGGGTCCTTGGCTTGTATATTAAACACTCAAAAAAAGTTGGCAGGTGTTCCACACAGACTGAGAGCCACTGCTCTGCACCACAGTGCACTCTGCATGAGAAATGTTGAAGTGGGTTCCTGGGTGGGAGACAGTGTTCATTATTTCAGAATACTTCTTTTTCTTTTCTTGACCCCTAACCTGACAGTGTGGATAACAGTGAGTACATGCGGAATGGGGACTTTCTGCCTACCCGCCTTCAGGCTCAGCAGGATGCTGTCAACATAGTATGTCACTCCAAGACCCGAAGCAACCCCGAGAACAACGTGGGCCTCATCACATTGGCCAAGTATGTGGGACACAGGAGGAGGGAGCTTGGTAGGTGGGCAGTTGTTTCCCTGCATATAACCCACTGTGATACACAAGGGAGTTTCATAACGTTTCTAGGGAAATTGCATTATTTTAATTCCATTTTTCTACGAACTTTCTGAAGTCCTCTCTTTTGGGCAGCATATTTTACAAGACTGATTTTGCCCAGACCATATTCTTACTATTCAGTATAAAGTAGACAACTTTTCTTTTTTCCTATACTTTTTCATAATAAAGTGGTTTTAATTCCCAGTAAAGTATCTTTAAATCTTGCTATGTATTCAGTCATCTCATAAAAGCAAAGCCAATTCAACTATATTAAAATTACTTATATTTCCTTTTTGATTAGATGTTCTGATAGCAATATCAGCTTGAAGTTCCCATAAAGTGTTGTTGTTGAGAATATATGTAACACGACAGATATCCATTCAACAGTTGCTACATGTACACTTCAGTGACAGTGATTACATTCTATTCCTCAAGTTATACAACCTTTCCACCATCCTCTTCTGAGTTGTTCCTTCCCCATTAACATAAACTTACTGTCCTCTGAGTTTTCTAATCAGTTGAGTTGTTGTCATTTTAATACCATATAGATAGATCCTAAAAAAGCACAATGGTCAAGGCAGACATTTAGAAACTTGTTTTAAATATTAGCCTTAATATAGTTATAAAGCTTCATCTCCTGGGGTGAGATACGATTTTTTTAAAAAAATGTTTTATTGTGAATTATGTGATAGTTTACATGGGAGAACATTAGCTTTACATTCATCCTATTCTGTATCATTTCATTGCCATGGTTACAATCCCCTCCATGCATTATCAGCCATCCAAAGGGTATACCTTGCAAGCCTGCCCCCCCGGTCGTCAGCACACAGCCCCTCTCCCTCTCTGGGTTTAAAGTCCCCAGATGCTCCATCTCTCTACATCATCATGATAAATTTTTAAATCAATGAAAAGTGATTTTAGAGCAGAGTTCTTAGGCATACACCACATTCTGGTTTTCCATAAGTGATTTATATTAGGAATTGATAATCCTCAAGTTGAGTAACCTTTCACTTTAGTATACATGCAGTTAGCTGAAAAATGGGTATAGAAATAGAGAGGGTGAGGAGAGATACAAAATAGTATTCATTTATTATGAGAAATCTCAGGGTCTTGAGAGGAAGATAAGATGAGTTAGGGGAAAATATTGGGGGTTAGAGGGCAGGTTTCTTACAGAAGCAAGCACTTACATTTCTGTGCTTGGTGTCTGCTAAACATTAGAAGCATAATTAAAAAGAATAGAGATTACAGTGACTACCAAGGTCTAAGAAGTATGAGAGACGAAATTTGGCCGTCTTGGCCTCCAAGGAGCACCCCGGCTACGCTTCTTCCATACTTTGGACATATTGTCAGGTGGGACCAGTTGCTGGAGAAGGATATCATGTTTGGTTTTGGTAAGGTGGAGGGTCAGAGAAAAAGAGGAAGACCCCCAATGAGATGGATTGGCCAAGTGGTAGCATGAATGGACTCAAGTGTGGCAATAGTATAGTGAGGTTAAAACAGGATTGGGCAGGCAGTGTTTCGTTCTACTGTGCATACGGTCGCTATGAGTTGGTACTGACTCGATGGCACCTAACAACAACAGCGATCAAGGTCTAAAGGAGCTCTGGTAGTGTAGTGGTTACGAATTGGGCTACGAACTGCAAGGTCTGCAGTTCAAAACTACCAGCTGTTCCGTGGGAGAAAGATGAGGCTTTCTGTTCCCGTAAAGATTTACAGCCTTGGAAACCCTATACAGGGTCGCTATGAGTTGGAGCCGACTCCACGGCATGCCATGCCACTACCATCAAGGTCTAAAGAACTGATGAGTCCAAGGCACTTGTGTTGACATTGGGGCTGTGAAAGGAGCACATGCTCACAGGTGATTGTTGTTTACTTTATAAGCCAGTTTATTATTTGACTGAAAGATGGTGTTCAGAAATAGCTTCAGTTCTAAGTTAAAAGGGTGTCTTAGGATGATAGTCTCAGGGATTCCTCTAGTCTCTTATCAGTCCAGTTGATCTGGCCTTTTTTAGGAATTTGGATTTTGTTCTACATTTTTCCCCATTCTATCTGGGCTCTTCTATTCTGTCCCTGGTGAGAATGGTGAGTGGGTAGGTCAGGACCATGTCGTTTTGGGCTCCGGTTAGAAGAGGCCATGGTTCCTGCGGACTAGATTCTTCTTTCAGCCTTTGGTTTTCTTCATTCTCTTTTGCTTCAGAAGAATAGAGATCAGTAGTAGTATCTTAGATGGTTGCTTGTTGAAAGCTTTTAAGACTCCAGCTGCTACTCACTAAACTAGAATGTAGAACATTATCTTTATGAACTATGTCATGCCAGTTGACTAAGCTGTCCCCTAAAATTAATGATTCTCAGCCTTTTAATCAGAGTTTAGAACCAGGTTGAATTGGTTTAGTCATAGCCAACCAAGCAAAATTAGAATTGACCTGAGTTTTTAAAAATTTGGGTGATCTATAACCAAAACATGAGAAGTTTGGAGTCAGAGCCCTAGAATGGGAGATTTAGAAGAGGTGTGGGGAACCCTTTTAGGAACCTGATACAGGAGATTGGATTATCACCAGGGCTGAGAGCAACATGTATTCAAAGTTGCATAGTCAACCGCCATCTTTGAGTAGGACACCACAGTTTCCAACTCTGCTGGTCAAGAGAGTTGGTTGCTATGTATTGTGCACATTGTCCTTGTTTTCTGAGAGGGACATTAAGTTTCTAGCAGGGCACTGATCTGTACTTTTTCCCATTCTGGCTATCATTCCAATTCATCCACATTGTACAAACTTGGGTCCATTTTGGTTTCACTTCATCAGCCATGACTGAACTAGGAAGTTGGTTCTGAGCCCTGGTTGACACAAAGCCACTGAAACACTTCTCTCCATAATCTAGTGACTGTGAAGTGCTGACCACACTTACCCCTGACACCGGTCGCATCCTGTCCAAGCTCCACACTGTTCAACCCAAGGGCAAGATCACCTTCTGCACTGGCATCCGCGTGGCCCACGTGAGTCCTACTGGATCCCTTTGATTGTTCTTCCTTGCTCTCAGGTCTTGTCTCCATGTCATTGATTCCTACTCTAGCATCATGAGCTAGAACCATAGTGAGGGAAGGGATATGACTTAGAGATAGCTAGCCTGAAGTAGAAAGGGAATGATGGACGAGTCCCTGGGTCAGTGAAGATTGTGACCCTCCTTCCTTGTCCCTAGAGAGGCATAGCAAAAAGGGAAGGGTGGGAGAAGGTACTTCTTATTAATACTTACTAATTGATCAAGTATTAATACTTATTAATAAGGTATAATAAGTATACCTTATTGAGTATGGTGGTAGATTTGAGGTATATCGAAACCATAAGGGGAAGAAAGGAGACAAATTGACAGAGGAAAGGGCTAGGTGATTTCTCTGGTTGATTCTGAGAATTCCTTCTTCCTTAACAAGCTGGCTCTGAAGCACCGACAGGGCAAGAATCACAAGATGCGCATCATTGCTTTTGTGGGAAGCCCGGTGGAAGACAACGAGAAGGATGTGAGTCTAAGCAACAACCGGGGGATGTGAATGGGCATGTTTGGTAGGGAGCTCCTTTAGCCTTTAGGAGAGCCCAGCAGAGACATTACATGCTCATCACTTTTGGGAAACATATAGAACCCAGTGTTGTCAACAGATTTTTTATGCTTTTATGAGGCGTGCCACTTCCCCCTCATGATGTGGGATGCTTTCTTCATCTCTTTCCCCTTCTTCCCAGCTGGTGAAACTGGCCAAACGCCTCAAGAAGGAGAAAGTAAATGTTGACATTATCAATTTTGGGGAAGAGGTGAGTGGGGTTTGGTTGGGAGGCTTTGGCATGATTTGGTTATAAACAGAACATCCTTATGCAGAGGAGTGCCTGCTCTCTGAAAGAGTAGCTACAGACAGGAACTGAAATGGTAGAGAACAGGGAGCAAGGCATGACAGAGAGCCTTTTGTGTTCTTCCCTTCCCCAGGAGGTGAACACAGAAAAGCTGACTGCCTTTGTCAACACACTGAATGGCAAAGATGGAACCGGTTCTCACCTGGTGACAGTACCTCCTGGGCCCAGCTTGGCTGATGCCCTCATCAGTTCTCCCATTTTGGCTGGTGAAGGTGGCGCCATGCTGGGTCTTGGTGCCAGTGACTTTGAATTTGGAGTAGATCCTAGTGCTGATCCTGAGCTGGCCCTGGTGAGCAAACTCTGACCCCAGGTAGAACCCAGTGATCCTTTACTGTCCTCTGCTGACACAAACACATCATGTAGCTTCTGAGGCTAACCAAGAACCAAACCAGTTGCTGCTGAATCAGTTCCACCTCATAAGACCCCATATGGGTCAGAGTAGAACGCTTCCATGAGGTTTTTTTGTTTTTGTTTTTTTCATAAGGTTTTTAGTGACTGTTTTTTTGGTACACTTTTCATCCGAGGAGTGTCTGGGTGAACTTGAATCGCCAACCTTCCAGTTAACAGCTGAGCTCTTAACTGTTTGCACCACTTCAAGACTTTTGTACGCCTTGTTGTTAAGTGCTGTCAAGTCGGTTCCGACTCAGCGACCCTGTATAGAGTTTCCGAGGAGTGGCTGGGGAGCTTGAACCACCCACCTTGTGATTCAAGCTGACGTTGCAGTCCAGTGCATTAACCCACAGCGCCACACCAAGACTCCCCCATAACCCTTACTCATCTTTTCAGATCCCCTTACTTCCTCTTTTCTATGATTCTGTCTGTTCTCCAGGGACACCAATGTTAAGAATCCTTTGTTAGTTTTTCCCGGTTAAATCCAAGGCTTTCCCCCAATGTCCTTTTATCTTTTCCATACCACCTCCTATCCCTCCAGTCTCTTCCCCGGATGCATAAATCAGAAGCTGCCCCTTTTGCTGACTTCCCTGGCACTGGCTAGGAGTGAGAGTTGGGGAATGTCTGACATTGCCCTTCACTTCACCAGGCCCTTCGTGTTTCTATGGAAGAACAGCGACAGCGGCAGGAAGAGGAGGCCCGGCGGGCAGCGGCAGCCTCTGCAGCAGAAGCCGGAATTGCTACAGCTGGGGCTGAAGGTGAAAGAGGTGGAATCGGAAGTCCTGGGACTACAGAGTGTGGGGGTGGGGAGATCTTACAGGGTGGTGGGACTGTGGAAGGACTGGGTGGTTTTCGGGGTGGGTCAGTGTGGGACATGGCACCAATTCTAGCCTGTTGCTCTCTTGCTTTTCCCAGACTCAGATGATGCTCTGCTGAAAATGACCATCAGCCAGCAGGAATTTGGTCGCGCCGGACTCCCTGACCTAAGCAGTATGACTGAGGAAGAACAGATTGCGTATGCCATGCAAATGTCCTTGCAGGGAGCAGGTGAGTCAGAGCCTGGGGACCGGACTTAGGCAGGTAGGCTGGGTAGAGAAATTAAATTGAAAAGACATGTTTTTTTCCTCAGAGTTTGGCCAGGCAGAATCCGCTGACATTGATGCCAGTTCAGCAATGGACACATCTGAACCAGCCAAGGTGAAGAAGGCCAGTGAGGCTTAAAAATCCCCTTGTATTCATGCCTCAGCCCTCACTTTCCTAGAGCTAGATGAGTTCTTAGAGGAGCAGAAGGAAACACATGTATATATATGAGGGTGCTTCAAAAAGTTCATGGAAAAATGAAAAGATGGGAACTTTTTGAAGCATCCCTCATATTTCTTGGATTTAAAACCATACGATAAGCATTAGACTGTGAAGCACAAGGTCCATGGTTCGAGTCCTCCAGCCTCTCCGTGGGAGAAACATAAGGCTTTCGGAAACCCTATACAGGGTTGTTGTGAGTTAGAACCGACTTGACACTTGACAACAACAAGGCAACAAATGTTCATGGTCAGAGTTGAAGAAGTGTCCCAATATTCTCTAATTTTCCTTACTTGCTGGTACAGCATTTTGGGCACATCTCTAGGGTAGCAGCTGCCCAAGAAGCTGGGAAGAGGTCTGGAAAAAACAAAAAGAAAGGGTGGATGTCTTAATAGGGAAAGCCTGAACATTATAGCATGTCTTTTTACACTCTTGAGCTCAGGAAGCAAGAGTTCATAGGCTCTCCTTGATTTTGTCAGTGTTAAATGTTTGACTTCACACCACTGATTAGTGCTGGGCATTCTCCTGGATCTTTCTCCACTACCTTTGGCCAGAGATGCCCCCCGCCACCCGTCAGGTGTAGAGAGGGGCTTATGCAGCAGCATTCCAGTGTCTTACACTCTCCCTGGCTACCCTTCCCCTTGTCCTAAGCTAACTAAACACTGTTCCTTTTCAGGAGGAGGATGATTATGATGTGATGCAGGACCCTGAGTTTCTTCAGAGCGTTTTGGAGAACCTTCCAGGTGTAGACCCCAACAATGAGGCCATTCGAAATGCTATGGGCTCCCTAGCCTCCCAGGCCACCAAGGATGGCAAGAAGGACAAGAAGGAGGAGGACAAGAAGTGAGACTGCTCAGTAGACTGTATGGGGTGGGATAGGATGTAGGGCTAGATATGTTATCTGTAACTATTGCAACCAAAATAAAACTTTACAACTTTTTAAATTTCTTTTTTCTTCAAATAGTGGTAGCTTTGAGTGAGAGAGAAGGAAGGAGCATGTGGCATGAAGGAGAGCATTTCCTGTTGAGGTGTCTAGTCTCCACTGTGTAGTCCAGTCCTGACCTGCTCACATTTCTTCTGCCCTGGGACTGTTTCACTTTCTCATTAAGAGAAGCTTTGCTGAGAGCCCACTTTGTGCTAGGCACTGGGACCACATGTGAATAGGAAACAGTACTGGTCTCTGGGGACTCAGAGTTTAGAGGAGAAACTAGCATATAAATGATCTATTGCATGTGTCTGGTCAGTGCTAAAAAGGGAACTGGACACAGCACCCTGGGACCAGTGAGGAGGGAGACCAAATTCTGGCAGCCTCTGGGAAGGCTCCTGAAGTAGCTAGCAGTTGAGCTCTCTCTCTGCAAGTACAGAGTTCATCAGTAGATAAGGAAGAGATGGGGATGTTTCTAGGCACTAAGAACAGCCTGTACTGATGATGTGGAGGCTACATTTGAGGAACCGAGTAGGTCATAGACTAGAGGAGTGGCAGGAGAGCCACAGTAGTCAAGAGCACCAAGGGTAAGGGTCCTTGGGGCCTGACTCACAGGGGGGCTCCAGGAGGAAGCCCAAGAGAAACATTGTACATCTTCTGGAGTATCACGTTAGAACAAGATTTTCTTGTATGTTATTGAATAGGATGCAAAGTTTCTATGAAACCCCTTAATTACATTAATGGACTCCTGGTGTGGCTCTGTAAGGATCAGAACTAGACTGTGAACCATAAGGTTAGCAGTTCAAACCCACCAGCTGCTCCCTGTGAACCCTATACAGGGCTGCTATGTGTCAGAACCAACTCCAGGGCACTTAACAACCTTTATATTAAAAGGGAGCTCTGGTAGTGTAGATGTTTATGAGTCAGGCTGCTAATCTCACGGTCAGCAGTTTGAAATTACCAGCTGTTCTGTGAGAGAAAGATGAGGCTTTCTGCTCCCATAAAGATTTACAGCCTTGGAAACCCTACACAGGGCCGTTAGAAGTCGAAGCTGACCATGGCACACCACCACAACTACCACTAATTATATTAAAGAAGGTAATTAATATTTGACACAACAGAAAGACATGAGGTACCTTTTAAATTTTTGTGGAAAATGGAATTGAAAGATACTAGAATCTTCCGTGATTTTTTTGTAAGTCTCATATACTATGAAGCATAACAAATTTATCACCCATGAAACCAATTAACATAAGAACTAGAACATAGGAATCCCATGTATGTACCGGTGCATGCCTTCTTGAATCATCTGTCTGCATCCTTTCAGAAATTACTATTATGCTGAATTTTGTGTTTATCATTTGTTTTGTTTCCCCATAAACAGTTATGTAAAAATTTCATTATCTTTTAATTCCATTTACTGCAAACATTTTGAAGAAACTCCTTGTAGATCCCTAACTAGAAATTTTGCTTGTTTTTGAGTTATAAAAATTACTTCACTGTAAAGGTAAAAGTTTTGTAACAAAAAGGGGGAAATAGTTAATCTTACAATCCAGGAACAGAGGACCCTAGGACCATCAAGGAAGAAGAGCACAAGAGGAATGTGGTATCCTATCCAGAGAAGCAGCAACACCAGAGATGGAGGCAGAGATGATGACATGGAGAAGAGGGAGTGGCTGAGGATTCTATAGACTCATGGAAAGAGAAGGGCTGTGTGCTGGCAGGCAGAATGTGCCCTTTGGTTATATAAATGATTATATTGCTGAGTGTTTTTGTGTATATCCTCTCCCCCCCCCCCCCACCAAAACAAAAAAAAATACAGAGGGAAAATACAGAGGGAATAGAAGCAAATACTATTGAATGATGATGCACGTGAAATGATGAGTGTAAAACCAGTGTTCTCCCATAAAAAAAAAAAAAAAAAGTTTTGTACTGTAAGTTGTCTGGGACCTATTTTTTTAACTAGACAGTTTGTTTTTTTGAGAGTTACCAAAGTTGTTGCATGGAGCTGCTGGTGTTTCATTTTTCATGATTATACAGTGCATCATTATGTGAATATTCCACAGTCTGTCCATTCTTCTTTGGTGGACATTTGCATTGTTGTTGTTAAGTGCTGTTGAGTCAATTCCAACCCATAGTGACCCTGTATAGGGTTTTCGAGGAGCAGCTGGTGAGCTCAAACCATCAGCCTTGCAGTTCAAACTGCTTTGCAGTCTGGCGCATTAACCCACAGCATTACTTCCAGTTTATTGCTATTGAGTTTGTTTAGAACACTTCACAAAGTGGTTGTACTGCAGAGGGACCTCAAAAGGTTCATGTAAAATTTTAGTCAGGTTTCCTTCTTTCTGTTTTGCAAATGGAGACCAAGAGCTTGTGAAATCTTTTCTATTTGGTTGTAAAGGTATTAACTGCTTCAGTTTCATAGAAAGTCATGTTCTGACAGATCTCACCCACTAAATAATGACAAGACATTTGTCCCAGTCTTCCAGTTTGGCTAGGTGACTTTAGTGTTCATGAGAATGACTCAGCCAATATCTTGGCCTACAGTGCTTTGACGTCTTCAAATTTAGGATCATCATGTCTGTTCAGTCTCACTCTTGGAGCTATACTCTCCCATCTTGTCCACCTTAAGAAATTCTCCACATTGCACTTTGGTCCAACTTTTCAGTTCTCCCTCTTTGATACTTTTTGTACACTTTTAAACAGTCCAAACAAAGAGGAGGCTTTCTGCTCCCGGTGAAGATTTACAGCCATGGAAACCCTATACAGGGTCGCTATCAGTCGGTACCAACTCCACAGCACATAACCACCACCACTAACATCAAGAAGTTTGTGCACTGTAACTGGACAGATTTACTCTAACAAAACAATCAGATGTGCTACAGATTTATGACAAGGTTGTTGAAAAAAGAAAACAGTCTAATTTTCAATGCTTAATGGTACATAGAAGTCCTGGTGTCACACTGTGGGTTAATGCACCAGACTACAAGACTGTTTGAACTGCAAGGTCGGCAGTTCAAACTCATCAGCTACTCCTTGGAAACCCTATACAGGGTTGCTATGGGTCGGAATTGACTGGACAGCACTTAACAACAATGGTACATAAATATGCCGTCAATAAATTCATGTCTGGAAGAACACTTAATGACATTGCATATGTAATTATAATATCAGCAAATATTTACATAGTTTAATGTGCCAGGGTCTATTCTAAGTGCTTTTTACATATTTTTAATTCATTTTCTCCTAACAATCTTGTGAGGTACCCATATTTTATTATTAATCTCATTTTATAATAAGGAAGCTGAAACACAGATGCTAGATAACGTATTCTTCAGTAATGACAATGTGTTTCATGAATCCAGGAAGATCCCCAATACTCTTTCAGTAGGGTTGCAAAATCAAAATTTTTTATAACACTAAGATGTTACTTGCCTTTTCCATTGTATTGGTATTTGTACTGTTGACACAAAAGGCAGAGGTGGGTAACACTGCTGGTACTTACCACCAACTTGTACTGGCAGTCACTGCATTCTTCCTAACCTGACACCGGGTTTAAAAAAAAAAGGGGGGGGGTTTCTTGATGAAGCAATAGAATGTATTAATCTCATTAAGTTTCAAACCTTGAGTATATATCTTCAGTATTTTCTCAGGAAAGTAAGAAGTACACAAAAAATACTTTTGCTACATACCAAGCCAAGCACAGTGATTGTCTTGAAGAAAGCCACTGATATGATTGAGTTATGAAAAGAACTAGCCACTTTTTCCTTAAAAGAACATTTTTACTTAAAAGAACAATTGCCAAACTGGTTATTCAGACTTGGGTATTGGGTATTTGGCAAACGTAATCTCAATTATGAATAAAAATGAAAAAGTAAATTTTTTCAAGGAAAATATCTGACAGTTTTTGTTATCAGTGTTAAAACTTGAGCTGTCAAGTGGCAATTTGTATTTTGGAAAACGTGTGCATTTCACTGTGAACTTAACATCCTCAAAATTTTTGAGATGAATAATACATTTTTTTAGATTGTTTATCAAAAGTTGTATATTATAACATGTCAACATTTGGAAAATGTGCACTACTCAGTGAACCAAATTCCAAATGATCCCTTCCAAGTGTAAAAAAGACTAATAACTTAAAACCTAACAATACAAACAGCTCACTGATAGACTTTCAAATTCCACACCATAGCTCACCCTGGAGAAACCACTATGTATCAAGTTTTGGTGTAGTATCAAAGAAGAATATCAACATTTATTTGAAAAGGTGATTGAGATGTTACTCTTTTCTACAACATGTTTGTGAAGCCAGATTGTGTAGTTTAGTCATAGCTACAGGTTGCAACAGACTGAATGCAGGAGCAGATAAGAAAATAGAATTGTCTTACAAAAACCATTAAAGAGATTTTCAAAAATGTCAATGCACTCTTGTCACAAAATTTTTGTTTAGGAAAATATATTTCATACAAACATGTAATGATTTTACTGTTGTTATTTTAAATGAATTAACACTTAAAATTCAGTTTAGCATTTCTAATATTTCTTGAATTCCACGTAAAGAAGAGCTGCTTGGGATTCTTCAGTCTTTAATAATGTAAACAGATTTTTAGACCAAGAAAACCTAAAGCACCATTTTATAGGCAGTAATGATGCAGCAGAGAACTGTACCCAGGATGTTTGGCTCTAGAGTCCATGCTTTTAAACATTTAATTATGTTGTAGGTCACAAAGCAATACCTATCATTCCCAAGTTCGATAAAAAGGATTGGCAGGAAGGACATACGTGGAAACATCAAAGGTGTTATTTCTGGGGGATAGAAATACAGAATTACTTGATTTTACATTTATGAATGTTTCAAAATGTTCAAAATAAAGATATATTACTTTCATAGTACAGCAAAGTATATGAAAAAATAAATTCACTTCCAGGGCAAGAAGTTGGAGTAAGCAGACAGACTTAGAGTAGACCTTCCGCAATAAAAACATGGACGACTGAATGAAACCTGGAACCCTGAG